GTGCACCCGCAGGAGCCTAGGGTTACAGGCTGTATGACGCTCCCGGCTGGGATTTTTGCTATTTTTAGTAGAGACAGAGTTCCACTATGTTGGCCAGGCTGGTCTCGAACTCCCTGCCTCAGGGTGATCCCACTCCTCAGCCTCCCCAAGACGGCTGGGATTTCACAGGGGCAGTTGCACGTGCCCACCCCCCCTGCCTGACCACCAAGATTACCAGCATTTAATCATCAAATGGGTTTAGCATCTGTGTCGAAACTGGTTTCAGATCAGGAGCAAGGTTGCTAAGCTGTAAACGCAATCGACTGCCACCGTCACCTGGCGTGAGACTTCGTCTTCTGTACGCTCACTTTACTTTCTGTCATAAACTGTTCTACCAAGTGGCTGCGCTCGGTGCCTACTCTGGCTCAGGAGGGCTGCCCTTTAATTTGCAGATTGTCATTGCTCAATTAAACTCTGCTTTTTTTTTTTTTTTTTTTTTGTTTAAGACGGCGCAGTTCTCGCTCTGTCGCCCAGGCTGGAGTGCAGTGGCCAGATCTCAGCTCACTGCAAGCTCCGCCTCCCGGGTTCACGCCATTCTCCTGCCTCAGCCTCCCGAGTAGCCGGGACTACAGGCGCCCGCCACCACGCCCGGCTAGCTTTCTTGTATTTTTTAGTAGAGACCAGGTTTCACCAGGTTAGCCAGAATGGTCTCAATCTCCTGACTTCGTGATCAGCCCGTCTCGGCCTCCCAAAGTGCTGGGATTACAGCTTGAGCCACCGTGCCCGGCCAACTCTTTTTTTTTTAAATTTAATTTAATTTAATTTAATTTAATTTTTTATTTTTTTATTTTTATTTTTTTTTAAATTTGATTGAGACAGAGTCTCGTTCTGTTGTCAGACTGGAGTGCGGTGGCACGATCTCAGCTCACTGCAACCTCCGACTCTCTAGTTCAAGCGATTCTCCTGCCTCAGCCTCCTGAGTAGCTGGGATTATAGGCACACATCACCATGCCCAGCTAATTTTTGTATTTTCAGTAGACACGGGGTTTCACCATGTTGGCCAGGATGGTCTCAATCTCCTGACCTCGTGATCCACACACCTCAGCCTCCCAAAGTGCTGGGATTGCAGGCAACTCTGTTAAATTTAAATCAGCTGAAGTTTTTCTTTTATCAATAGGGCTAATAATCCCCACCCTGCCAGTATCACTAGGATGTTGTGAGAATCTGATGCAATTTGAGTTACGGGAATGTTGAGAAAGAAAAGGGCATAATGGAGTAACAAGATTCGTTTTTCCTGTTACGGTGAGGTCAGTGGCCTTTCTGGGGTCAAGAAGAGGGGACTTTCCTTGGCACCAAGAGGGTAAAAGTGTCTCCCCCTGACCTTGGGTATTTTGTGCCATGGGATCTGAGGTGTACCAGGAGGCAGGAAGCATGATTGGAAAAGGCCTGGTCTAACGGTACACAGCGGTGCCTGTGTCACGTGGCTTGACCTCTCTGGGCCGTTTCTGACTCTGTGAGATGGGAATCATAACCACTCCCCTGACTTCATGGGATGTTTTGGGAGAGACTGGATCTGGGTTGGGGGAACAATTTTGGAAGCAGAAAAGACCCCTCCGTGCTGGCAACAGCTCGTCCACCTCCGGCCTGTGTGTGCTGCCTCCTGGGTGACCGCTGGCTTTCGGCCAGCGCCTGTCAGGGCTTGACTAAAGCCTCCCTAGGCTGCTGCTATCTCAGTTCTGAGCTACAGGCCGTGGAGACCAGCAGATTTGGGCTTAAATCCCGGCTCCACCATTGCACCTCTGAGCCTCTGTTTCTCTGCAAATGGGGATACTAGTCTCTAGCCCAGATGGGGCCTGGTACACAGTAGGTGCTCAATAAGAGCAGTTTGTCTTCTTCTGAACATGGGTGCATCCCTCTGGCTGGGGTAAGCACCAACTCAGATTTCTGGGTTCATAGATGGGCTGGAGCAGCTGCTGCTGTTAAGGGAAAACCTCTGCTACTAGCCAAGGGGTTCCCTTCCTTCTGTGTTTTTACCCCACAGGGCACCTGGCACAATGTCTAGCACATAGTAGGTGCTTTGTCTACACTGGCTGGTCAGTTACCTCCAAGCTGTCAGAAACTATGTCTGTCCTGTTCCCGACTGTTTCCCTAGAACCTAGCACAGAGATACCCAGCAGGAGCTCCGTAGGTATTTGCGAGTGAGGAATGAATGAACAAAGTTGAATGAACAAGCATCGGGTCCTCCCCTGGGGCTCAAATGGGAGAGGGGAGCTTCGTAGCCTGCTCCCCCTCCCACTCCAGCACCCCATTTCATCCCGCCTGACTAATCCACAAAGATTAACTTAGGGATAAAGCAGGTCACGGCCACTGACCCAGGGCTTTGGAGCTAGTGTGACTGACTGTGCGCGGGGCTTGGTGGCCGCTCCCAGGGGCCCTCTTTACCTCAAGATGGCCCTCCTGTCCCCCATCCTGGATGTGGTCCTCACGGTGGCCCTCAGCCTCCTCCTTCTGGGGCTGGCCCTGGGCCTCCTTTGTTTCTTCACTTGCCGCCTGGCCAGGCCGCTCAGGTAGGGGAACTCACCTGGCCTGACTCCCCCCGCTGCCAAATACCCCGCCCTAAGCTCGTTTGGCTTCCCTTATTCTTGTGGGATGGAGCCAGCGGGGCACTCGTCTCTCTTACTCTTCATGATGGGGGAACTGAGGCCTGGAGAGGTTGAGTCCTGGAGTCAGCCTGGGCTTGAATGGAGTGTGGTCGAAGACTAGCCAGACCCTCTGCTCGGTTTCCTAAACTACAAAACGGGGGCTGTTCATCCTTATTGTGAGATCAGGGATGTAAACAGCATGGGGCTGAGTGCGACATGAGGGCTGAAGAAATGGTAGTGACACGTTTGTCCCGTTCTTCTATCATTTGCCCCAGATCTTCTGAGATGCAGCCCAGGGCTGGCTTTTTGCCCCGCTCCAGGATGCTCCTGGGCCCTCTGCCCGGATCGCTGAATCAGTCCTCAGAGCCAAGGCCTGCCTGGCCCCTCAGCCCCCGCCACTGCACTGCCAAGTAGCTGCTCTTCTGGAGCCACAGCCTAGCCGGGGCTTCTATAATCAGGCTACAGAGGAGCCGGGAGCCTAGCAGAGAAGGGAGGGAGGGGGTGGCGATGGGGCTGACACACACCCGGAGGCCCCATTTTAAGCTGGCAGGACATTGGCAGAGGGTGGTGGGCAGCCGGGGCCCCTGCAGCCCCAAACTGGGCCCCTCCACTTCCAGGGCTGCCAGAGAGCAGCCAGGAGCCTCTGCGAGGGGGAGGGGTCTGAGGGGTGGGGCCAGCAGGGAGGCTCTGGGTTCTGAAGGCTTTCCCAGGTCCCCACCCCCTCCTTGTTCTGAGCAGAGGCTATGGGAGAAGGCACCTGCCTCCAGGCCAAGCCTATCTCAGTGTGTATCCCTGGGGCCAAAATTCAGAGCATCCCAGCCTGAACTGGTGGCACTTACGAAACTGCTGCCATGTGCAAGCGCTCGGGATGCAGAGATGGGTAAGATGATGGTCTTTACGCTCATGCAGCTTCAGGCTAGCAGGGAGGAGAGACAAACCAATAACCGAAAGAATAATCATGTGGGGCTGGATGAGCTTTCGGAGTTCCTGGGTCACTCTACACTTTTATTTTTCTGTATTCACTCACCTGTTTTGGACCCTAGGTGCAGACAGAGTGGGATGCATTATCTCTCTTAGCATATGACATACCCAAATGAGCTCTCAGTTCTTGTTTCATTTATTCATTTTTTGCTTTGTCCCCACTCCCTGCCTCCCCACTGCCATTCCCGCAGCTCCCCGAAGTCCCTATGCTAATGTACGTAATATGGCCTTGGATTTGTAAGTGTCCTTGTGTGTTACACAGTGTTCTGTCCGTGGGAGTGGTTTGTACTTAGTATACTGCGTTTGATTCTTTACATTCATCACTTGGTCCTCTGCCTTTAGACTCCACCATGCTGCTGTTTTGACGTCTAGTTTTAATACCACTGCCACACAGACATGGCCTCCACCACTCCTTACTAATTTATTTCGCTAGTTGTGTACAATGAGGCTGCCCCAGCTCCTCACCATCATAAGCCAGCATTAAAAGAAGTTTGCCAAAGCTTTCTCCAGTGGTATGATGGTTTCTGCAGGTTTTTGGCATAAAGCCTTTATCAGATTAAAGAAATTCTTTTCAATACCCCTCTCCCTTGATGAGCGCGTCAAATTTCATCAGGGTGTTAACCGCCACCTCTGTGCCTGTGATTCCCAAATTTTTACCTCTAACCCAGACTTCTTTTTCAAATGCCAGACTCAAATATTCAGCTGCCTCTTTAGTGTCTCCACTTCTAAAAGACATCTCCAACTCAACATGTCCAAAAACAAGTTCCTGATTGTCGCCACAAAATCTACTCCACCTCACGCCTCAGAAGACCACCCCAAACGCTGAAAGGCTGAATGCTTTTTTCTTTTTCTTTTTCTTTTTTTTTTTGAGATGGAGTCTTGCTCTGTCGCCCAGGCTGGATTGCAGTAGTGCAATCTCGATCTCAGCTCACTGCAAACTCCACCTCCCGGGTTCAAGCGATTCTCCTGCTTCAGCCTCTCAAGTAACTGGGATAACAGGTGCACACCACCATGCCCGGCTAATTTTTGTATTTTTAGTAGAGAGAGTTTCACCATGTTGGCCAGACTGGTCTCAAATGCCTGACCTTAAGTGATCCACCTGCCTCAGCCTCTCAAAGTGCTGGGAGTACAGGTGTGAGCCGTCGCGCTTGACTCAGTAGTATTTTTATGTACTAGTAATGAACAATTTCAGAAACATTGCCATTTACAATAGTTCCCCAAAAAGCGAAATTCATAGGTATAAATCTGGATTCAGAGTCCAGAGTACTAACCATTACACGATGGAACCTATAGGTATAAACCTAACAAAACATATCCAAGATCTACAGGCGGAAGACTACAGAGTGCTGATAGAACTGAAGAACTCTGACTGAATGAGTGGGCGACTCCACATGCTAGAGACGTAAACCCTCCCACATTGGTCTGTGGATTTAATACCATACCTATCAAAAACACAGTGGTGGAGGACAGATCAGGGATCGCCAGGTTTAGGGATGGGCGGATTGTGTAACTATAAAGAACGCAAGGGAGATTTTTGGGATGGCAGAGCTGTTCTGGGTCCTGATGGTGATGGTGGTGGTTACATGAATCTATCCATGTGTCAAACATCAGAACCCTCATTTTACACTTGGGAGCAACAGAAATCCCTCCCTCTGGAGGAGGTGACTGATGGTAACCTGATTGCTAATTCCAGAATCAGGAACCCTGTGGTCAGGTTTCTGCTCTGCAACTTCCTGTCGGTCACCTTGGGCAAGTCACTTGTCCTTCCAGAGCCTTGGTTTTCTCATCTGTAAAAGGAAATGATAGGTCCTTTTCTGTCCACTGCATAGTTTATTAGTGAAACATCATGGTGACATTCTTTATAAACTATGGAGTGCAGTACATAGGCTTGCTTTCATTTTGTCGGTGTCCTTTATAGATTGTTCATATAAGCTCCCAAAGAGTAGTATTTGTTTTATTGAAATAAAACACACGTAGAGAAAAATGTGTGCATTATACATTGACAGCTGAACCCACCGTGTAACCAGCACCCACCCACCCAGATCAATCATAAACAGAACCGCACCAGCACCCCAGCAGCCCCTTCCCGTTTCCATACCCTCCACGTGGAGCCTCCATTCCGTTTCCCAACACCCTGGGTTAGTTTTTATACTTTCTATCATCGGAATCACACCGTAAGTGCTCTTGGTTTTAGCTTCCTTTGCTCAAACTTGCCTTGTGGGATTCATTCATGTTGTGAGGAGCTGGGGGTCATCCATTCTCCTTGTTGTCTGTGGTGATTTCTGTGTTGTGAACACACACAATGTATCATCCAGCCTGCCGTAGATGGAGGCCGTTTTGAGGCCATTATGAACAGGGCTGATGTGCACATTCTGCTGGAGAGAAACGGGTCCCAGGGCGCAGGTCCGATGATCAGCTTTGGTAGTCCTGCCGGTTTTCCCATGCGCTGTGCGGGTCTACACTCCAATGGCGAGCGGACCTTCCGGTAGTTACAGACCTTCACGAACTCTTGGACTTCCCTGCACACACAGAGGAGAGAATTTTGGATGGCTCTTCCCTTCCCCCCACCTCCTTCCTTAGGGCATTGACGTTCAACTGATGTAAATATTTACTGTGCCAAGCACTAGGAGTGCAGAGACAAACAAGACAAAGTCCTCACTCTTAGAAGCTCCCGGTGAGGCGGCTGAGATGGCCCAGGAAAGAATTATATTACCGTCGAAAAGGGAGGTATTATCTTCAAAACGCGATGTTTGAGGTGGCATGAAGCTCAGTGGTGTTATATTGGAATGAGTGACCATCCTGGAGGCTTCCTGAAAGAGGTGACTTCGTTTTTAAGTGATTTTAAATAATAGTTTAATGTATTAGTATTTTGTATTCAGTTAATAACATTTTTCTGATTTTAGGATTTGCTATAGAAATGTTGGGAAACCATAAAGTAGAACCAAAAAAATGTAGGAATCCTCTGAAATTCCAAATTCTACCACTCCCTCACAGTTAAGTGCTGTTAGATGTTAGGTGTGGGGTATTTCCTTTTAATTTCCACTCTGCACCGCCACCCCTAGCCGCTACCCCAGAGCCCTCACTTCTGGCACTGGAGCGCAGCTTGCATGTTTTTCAGGCTGAATCAAGATCCCTTCTTCTGGTGGTAGTAGTTTCTTTTTCTCTCTTTCTCTCTTTCTCTCTTTCTCTCTCCTCCTCTCCTCCTCTCCTTCCTTCTTTCCTTCCCTCCCTCCCTCCCTCCCTCCCTCCCTCCTTCCTTCCTTCCTTTTCTCTCTCTCTCTTTTCTTTTACTGTATTTTTAAATTAAAAAGAAAATCTTGAACGGGCATGGCATCTCACGCCTGTAATCCCAGCACTTTGGGAGGCTGAGGCAGGCAGATCACCTGAGGTTGGGAGTTCGAGACCAGCCTGACCAACATGGAGAAAACCCCATCTCTACTAAAAATACAAAATTGGCCAGGCATGGTGGCTCAAGCCTGTAGTCCCAGCTGCTCGGGAGGCTGAGGCAGGAGAATTGCTTGAACCCCAGAGGCGGAGGTTGCGGTGAGCCGAGGTTGTGCTGTTGCACTCCAGCCTGGGCAGCAAGAGCAAAAACCCGTCTCAAAAAAAAAAAAACAAAAGAAAAAGAAAAAATCTTTTTCCTTTGAGCTGGAGCTGCAAAGAGAAGAATTTTTAAAAAGAAAATCTATAAAAATTAAAATACAAAAAGTTTTCTTAGACACAGGGTCTCGCCGTGTTGCTCAGGCTGGTCTCCAACTCCTGGCCTCAAGCGAACTTCCTCCAACCTCAGCTTCCCAAGTAGCTGGGATTACAGGCATGTACCACCATGCCTGGCTTTTTTTCTTTAAATAACTTTTTAAAAATGTTTTATTTTGTTTTTACTTAACATATAATTGTACTAGAGTAGTGTCTTATCTGTCACAACACTTTTCTAATGGTAGAGTGTGTGTTACTGCCGTTTCCCACAACAAATGGTGTCATATCTTGGTCTTGGTTGAAGCAATAACATTTCTCAGTGAAACTCTTGCCATTTAAAATTCTTCGTCTTGTAACTCATGCGCAACAGGGTTAGTACATTTCTCAGCTGCCAGTGAGGTTGTTCGTTGTGATTTAACAGGATGACCACAGTGTAAAAACATTCTTATGCCATTAATACACGCTTGTTTTAGGCTACTTGGAAAATTCAAAAACCTAAAAAAAAGAGGAAATAATCATTTATAGTCCTACCACCCAGAGAAAACCACAGTTAATGTTTTGGTGTATTTCCTTCCAGTTTTTTATTTTCCACCTAAACTCTTCAATTACAATCCAACTTTTTTTTTTAAAAAAACCATGTTTTAAAAAAAGTATAAAGATAATACTGTATCTCAGCACAAAAGAAAATTTTGGAAATGCAGAAAAGACAATGGAAAAGAAAAATCAGTTGTCTGTGATGTCACCACCCAGAAATAGCCACGCTTCCAGCCAGTCTTTTCACATATGTGACTCCTACCGTTTTTATATCTCTTACCATAAACGACAAGCTCTAGAAGAGAATGTAGCAAATGCAGGGGTCCTGAAAGAAGGGGTGCACGCTTTGTTTTGTCCCTGATGTTCCTGGGGCACAGGTAATTAAAAGGCTGAAGACCGAGTGCTCTAGAACAGGGCTTCTCAAGGTGTGGTCCGCAAAGCAGCAGCCTCTCCTGGGAGCTTATTGGAAATACAATCGGAGCCTCGCGGGTGGGCCGGGAATCTGTTGTAACAAGCCTTTGGGGGAATTCAGATGCTTGCTCTCTTTACGGTTTGAGAAACACTGCACCAGAAGACTGGGCTCTGGGAGGTTGGGGGCTTCAGATGAATTGAAAGTGGAAATTCATTTAGGAAATGGGACGGAACCGCTTTGCAGCATGGAACTCGTTGATACCGACACAACTGTTTGTGTGGTTCAGCTTCCTGAGACAGGGACCACCTGAGTTTGGCATCCCAATGTCTAGCCCCCTGCCTGGTCTGTAATAGGTGCTCACCGAATACTTGATGAATGAATCAAGGAATGACTAAGTGAGTGAAAAAGGGATCTCTAGAGCCGTGCCCCACATGCCTCTTTTTCTCTTTTTTTAATTTCTAGGATTGGAACATCAGTTAACATCTGACCACTGCCAGCCCACCCCCTCCCACCCGCGTCGATCGCATCTCTGGGCTCCAGGGATAAAGCAGGTCTTGGGGTGCACCATGATTTCACCATTCTTAGTACTGGCCATTGGCACCTGCCTTACCAACTCCTTAGTGCCAGGTATGCTTGGGGACACAGGTGGAGGGATGGGGTAGGGTGAGGGCAGTGTCTATGTTCAAGGTCCCAGAACCATGCAAAGTATTTAAGAGCTGAAAACAGTGTTCAGAGCAGGAAACCTCAACCCTGCTACTTGCATGTGTTAATCGGATAGGTCACTCTTTTCCCATATATATATATTTTATTCTTTCTTTCCTTCTTACCCTTCCTTCCTT